ATTTTTCGTTTGATGATGGGTTTCCATATGTTTCGTATATCTACGCTGGCCTGGCTGAATACGTTGTTGGACAACATGTATGCGGCTTCCTTAAATTTTCTCCTAAACCAATGTTCCTCTCTGTGCAAGATCTCAGCTTGGGACCACTCGATGTTGTGTTGATGGGTCCAAACATGGTCTGCTATTCCTGATTTGCTGGTTTCTTCTCACTGTGTGTGCTTCTTGTGCTCGGCAATGCGAACATTCAATGGCGTCTTAGTTTCACCAATATAGGATTTTCCGCACTCACAGTGCGGAAGAGGAAGAGGACCGACTTAGGGTCGGTCCTCTTCACCAAAACGTCTAAGAATGGCAATTCGTTGTGGATTTCCTTCTCCATCTCTCACGGAATCAGTGAAGTGGAAAATGGAAAGCAGAGAAAGTGAAAGTTCAAACAAGCTTTCGTAGTCTTACCACAAATATATACTAATTTTTGGCTGCAATTCAGTACAAATAAAGTGGCAATTCATGTATTTAGCCATCGAATTCACTGAATAGAAAATGAAGATACATTTCACTTTTCAAATGATCATCGTAAAAGAAAGGGCCAAACATATTTGTTCCCACAATTCCCAACCAAACATTTATTCCACACCTTCCTTGGAAATTTGTTTCCCTATATGAATGTTCATTTGTATTATTCCACCTATAATGGATATTTCTGTTGAACCAACCATTGTTGATGAATTTTGATTCGTCGTCCATATTTTTTTTTCTACAAATATTTCTCCTTCCGTAATACCTTTCATTAAGTTGAATGAACTTTGCGTATCCTGTAACATTTATATTTGTTTTTTTTTCAAAATAGTTCTAGTGGATTTCACAGAAATCCCCATTTCGTGGGTAATTTCTCGTAAAGAACAATCTGGATTATCATGACTTTTGAACTGGCCATTCCTAAATTAAAAATGAAAGATGTTTTCACTGTGTGAAAATGTGGTAATATTTGTTTACACATAACATTTATTTGATTTCTCACACTTCCAGTAACCACACACATAGTCCCTCAAAATTCTTTTCAATCGTCTAAATATTTGGATGTCCGGAATACGACGATTCGGGTATAGCTCAACATACATATTCCTTGCCAAAAGAGGATTTTTATTCGATTTTGCATAACTAAGTAGCAGTCATTTCATCATTTGAATACATTTTTGATGTGCTCATAAACGTCTGACAGTTCGGTGGAAGTCATCTTGAATTTAGTAAGGTTGGAGCCTGGCTCACTTACCCTTTGAACTGATGTTTGCCAGAAAGACAAACGGGTCATGACTGATGTGGGTGTTAATGGTATGGCGGCATGACTGTCCTCAGACATCAGTACCGCCCTTCACGGTGTTCCCCTGCCTGGCTGGGGTGAATTGGATGAAAACGTTGTTCATCTTTCAACGGAAGATATAGGGGCCTCATTCGAGGCTTCCCTTCTAAGTCTGACAGTTCTCAACAGATATCAACAACTCATTCATTTTCTCTGCCATAGTAACCAAGCAAAGCCTAAGCGTTTAAAGGTGGTTACTCACACACCTGCAAGCTTGTCCAGCATGCTTGTTCAATCATTTTGTATAAATATGCACAATTTGCCTTTGGCAACACACATATAAGCATGCTTGTTCAAAATGTCGAGCTCGGACGACGATGCTTTGGCCGCTTTTATTCTTGTGAAGAAAAGAAAATCACGAATAAAGAAGCGTGGGGTGTGGTGCAAAGAATGGTTGATGAAAAGGATAACCTATTCTCACATTAACTTATCAAGTGAGCTGAAAATACATCCGCGTGACTGGCACAATTATCTTAGAATGGATGAAGAAATATATTTAAACCTGTTGTCTCTAGTATCACCTTTGATTAAAAAGCAGGATACGATCATGAGAGAAGCCAGAACAGCACATGAAAGATTGAGAGCAACATCGCGATTTATTGCGACAGGAAGGAGTTATGAAGACCTGAAGTATTCAACTATCATTTCACCGCTTCCTGAAACATGCCATGTCATATACAAGGTGCTAAAAAGCAGGTGTTTGAAGGTGAGTAATACAATTATTTTAAGTCAGTTATTTATTAATGTTTCAACGAAGAGACATACAAAAAGTAGGTATATGTTGTATATAATAAACTGTTACAAAATAACATTAGACATCACTAAAATTTGAAATATAGGACGTGATAGACTGATTGAAATTGTCATTGATGGTTACTGGAGAAAGGGTTTCATAATGTACATGAGATTGAGGGAAGGTTGAAGGGAAATTGAAGTAATTAGTATTGAAATGTTGAGTTGGAGAACAATCTGTAAATGTATTGTTAGTTTCACCACGAATACCATGGGACGGAGTCAACTGACCCATTTCTGCCATGAATAATGTGTCGTTAATTATTTTTTCTGCTAACAATCTCTGATGATTATTTGTCACGTCTCTCATTTTCAGAGCGACGTTTTTCCCAAAAATATCATATTTATCTTCTTTTATCTTAGGTTTTTTAAAATGAGATTCAATTGCTTCCAACACAGTACCTATCGCATTTGTCATTTTTGTGTTTAGGTGGTCGGGATATGGTATCATCATGTGTAGTTGACTCATCATCCTGAATCGGTAGATCTTAATTTTCTTGAGAATTTTCATCTGGTTGGGCTTCAATTTCTTCCTGAAAATAATATTTAGTAAATATATAAAATCTACTTTGAGATATAATGTAGTTGGAGTTATTTTGTACAACATATCGCTGTTTTTCTGTAGTAATATTTTTTCTCCAGGTTCCACAAACTGAAAACGACTGGATGGCTTTAGCAAAGGATTTCGAAAAGAAATGAAATTTCCCTCATTGTCTTGGCAGCCTCGATGGAAAACATATCGATATAATTCCTCCAGACAACAGTGGATCTTTTTTTTTAATTACAAACACAGACATAGTTTAGTTCTACTTGCCATAGCAGATGCAAATTATAAATTTGAAAATCTCTAAACAAGTTAGAGAAGAATTCATGAATTACTTTTCCAGTGAAGGAGCAGTACCTTGGCAAAAAACATTTATATATTAATAAAATATTGTATGTTGAGTATGTCTTGACGTTTTATGCAAATAAATAAATATGCAAATAATAACTAATGACTATTTATGTGACTTACTACGTATATGTATAAATAAAAAAACTCACCTCTGTCTCATTCAAGTTAGATACCGATTTTCTAGGTGTCTCTTGATCTCGTATAAAGTGAAATAGGTGGTAGTACCAAAGTGTGGGCTCATAACGTTCATCTTTATCCATTTCAGAGTGATCGGCATCTTCAATTTTTTTCTTTTCTCTTCTATAATTAGTGCGGAAGGAATTCATCTTTTTAACAACTGTATCCTTATCAGCATTAGCATCAATCAACTTATATTTTTCTACTAATATATTGTATGCTGCATCTCTCTTTGCTTTGTTATGATAATCTTTGGATTTAACGTGCCAAAGACATGGATGATTTTGGTATTCTCGAATAAAATCTTCCAGTAATTCACGATTAGCTTTTTTGAGAGCAATACTCATGACGAAAACTCAACTACTACCTAAATACAACATACAACCAATCACGATAATTACAACACAACACAATGGACGCCTACGCCAACTTGTGCAAACTTAAAACTCTTGGGTACACACGTACCGTTTTGCTTGCGCAAGCGCACCTAATTCAAGCATGCATAATCAAAATCAAATCAATCCTCAAGCTGCTTGTACAATTACAAAGCTTGCACCACATTTCCCTACAGACATTCACACATGCTTGTGCAAAATGATTGAACAAGCATGCTGGACAAGCTTGCAGGTGTGTGTGTAGCCACCTTAAGATGGTAAATGAATTGAGATGCTATTTGATCATACCAAATTATACAACAATCAAATTTTGACCAAATATTGATATTTTCGTTACTTCCAGGATTGAGAATTATAAAAATATTACGAATTATATTGATTAGGGAGAAATAAGCCTTGAGAGAAGGATTACAGCAATACATAAATTTCCAAAACGAAAAAGTACGAATTTTCATTGTGTTGAATTTATTGGGTTGTCTGAATTATATTTTGAAGAAATCGAAACAATTCACAAAAAAAGTAACGACAAGACCGTAATTTAAAATTGTTGTCACTGATGATGGTCATTTCAAATGAAACGCTATAAAAATATAAAATGTGATATATCTTTGGATTGTGAATTTATTGCTTTATCAACATCTGTAATAAAAAGACAGGTCCGTATTAAAAAAAAAGAGTTGATGTTGGCCATGTTGACACGAAACGTTTTATCGAATATTTATTATTACATCGTCATAGTACATTTCGAATACAATAACATTTTCCTTTTCCATTTTTTGAGATTCTCCGAAATAACAATTTCATTCGATAAAAACGATAAAAAGCATTTTTGGTTTTTTCCGTAAACTCGAGAAGGGCGAGAGTCCCCGTAAATTTTCTTCGACCATTGTACTGTTCCCGATGACAGTTACCTTTTTTTCCCCTTAAATCGTCTTCGTATCTGTTTCGGTTTAAAATATAACGGTGTTACCACATGATAAAAGAAACGGCCTCTATACAGTTCTGAAGACGGACAGTTGAGGTGGGTGGTTTGCTCTACTCAATCAACCGCTACTATATTTAACTGACTATATTTCAGATGCCACGAAATTACCAAAGAAAGACTGAGACCAAATACAAATCAGAAGACAGAAAAGGTTAAAAAGGTTAAGGTTAAAAGTAAAACACTTTCATTTGGAAAAGCAGCTGCTTTTTATTCTATTTCCAAAAGTAGTATACACGACTATATCAAGAAAGAAGTTATAAAGAAGCCAAAAACTGACAGAAAGGCTATATTTTCTGAAGAACAAGAAAGAGAGTTAGATGACTATATCATGAAATGCAATAAATTATTTTATGGTTCAACTATAGAAATGGTACGAAAAATAGCATTCAAATTTGCCAAAGTGAATAATTTATAGCACAATTTTGACAAAACATCTCAAATGGCAGGAAAAGACTGGTTCTATGGATTTTAGAAAAGGCGCCCTAATATTTCACTACGTAAACCTGAGTCCACTTCTATCAATGGAATTACGGCTTTTAATGAAACAGAAGTGGAAATTTTTTGGGAAAGAAAGTTTTTGGATTTCTACTACTCCATCTGATACAAAAAAAAGGGATGAGAGAATATTCCAAAGAAAGGAAGGAAGTAATCAATTTGAAACTTTATACATGAATGTGTAGATCATGCAAAGAAATAACTTTCAGACACAAACTGAAAGAAAGTCCTCCTGAAACAGCTACTTTCATATAAACATTGAATTACACGAAAGAAAATAATTNGATCTTAAAGCCATTTAAAGATGATCCAATTCTTCTTGTAGGTGTTCCGGTTCACATATTCTACGGGCACGTTCCGTCAGGATGTTGATAATTCTCCGCTTTTGACTTGGATGATGGTTCAAAAGTGCATGCAGATATCTGTCCGTATGTGTTGGGTATGTGCGCCACGCCATTCTATGAGTACATCTAGAAAAGCCATCGGTTGTTCCTGTTCAGTCTCCATGGTGAACTTGATGCTAGGATGTTGAGCATTTAATATGTGATCTAGAAATAGGTTCAGTCTTCAATTGTCATCAAGTTACGGGTGAGTCCATTCACAAGATACCATTTGTAGTTGTTGAGAGGTTGGAACAGGTAATATCATTGTGAACGATCTTAGATAAAAATAATGAGAAGTGTTTAAGCCTTATTCCAAGACTGCAAAAATGGTAACCTTCAAGGAACTCATTGTATGGTACGCCTATAGTTATGAAGATACCGGTAATTTCAAAAGACATACATTTCAAAAAGCGCCTCTGACTGACTTCCATTTGACCAATATGAACTTTCAAACATATTTCATTTTGGGTCAGATTTTTGTTATCCTTAAATGCATGACTTTACGAATTTTTCCCAAAATAAATGTTGATGGATCAGAATGTTGTTGAGAAATGCGAAATAAATAATTTAAGAATTACTATTTACCAGTATTCCCAATATTTCTGAAGTTATAGAAACAATTATTATTCTTATTCATGCATAGTGCTACACCAACGACCATATTTTGGTGGAAGTACTGAGCAGGTTACTGGGTCTGTCACTTTTCAAAGTTGTAGATCCCATCTTACACAAACATTCATCTACGAAATGAAACTTGGAAAACCGATTCGAACTGTTGGTCTCCAGCTGCAAGTACTGGCTTGTATAATATCCATGAGTTCGACATGGTTAAGCAGATCTATTGAAATATGTTTTTCCGTTAACCAGCTACTGGTCAAACGAATGTACTACTTCCTACTCTTCAGGGATATTTTGTTTCTTCCAATGTTGCTATCTATCAGATCAATATCACCCATATGGCCGTTAAACTTTTGTATAAGAAAGGGATATTTCACTTTGATACTCTTTTCTTACTTTCTATCGAAGAGTTTTACTCGACTTACAGGATGTATTTCCGCGAAAGTAGATAACATGGTGACGTACGTGATATCTTTCCATATCACTGAAGAGATACCTGCACCATCTACCGTAGCTTTCACCAAGAGGGACATTTTTCAATTCCTTTTTTAGTGTTAGCTAAATATCTGGTATTTTTTATCTTCTTTTTGAATTTCTTTAGTTCGGACTTCCATTGTCTAATATGATTCTTCTATGTTTGGAAATCTATGAAAAAACGAATAAAAATTATAATGGATAGGTAGTTGTATAACTTTTCCCTCAATACATTTTCTTTATCTCTCTAACAGTAGGTGCCTAATAATAGCTTTTTTGTACAACTGTTCTGTTTTCATAATAAAATAGATACATTTAATATTGCTATGAAAACACATTTTGACATCTCTTGTCAGTTACCTTTTTTCATGTTATCGCAATTGCTGTGAAGTAGCCGTGTCAGGTGACGCCGAATCACCTAGTTATCAACAAATTGTTTACAGCTCACACGTTTTATTTAACGTCACATTTAAAGTTCTTGCTGGTGTTTAATGTATATGATACATTTGTAACAGAATTTAATTGTATCTATAGGTACCTATTGTTCATATAAAAACTTCCTTGAAAACTGAATAATTATGTTTTGTTTATTGCTATTTGGTCGAAAAAATCTTTTTCAAATATTCTTAACACTAGTGTTAAAAATATTTTTAACATGCTACTTTGTAAACATCATCTTTTAATACTCTTGACAACCATTAAAAATGATACTTTCAATGGCAGTTGTTCAAAAATCCGTTTTCGTAAATAAAACGCATGAGCTGTAGGCAATACTGTTTATTGATAACCAGGTGATTCGGCGTCACCTGACACGGCCACTTCACAGCAAATGCGATAACATGAAAATAGTTAACTAACAAGAGATGTCAAAATCTGTTTTTATGAAATATTAAACTTATCTATTTTATTATGAAAACAGGACAGTTGTACAAAAAACTTTGTAGGATATTTGTGTTAAAAGTAAGTTTTATTTTGTTCGAGAAATAAAATCTTACTTTTAACACCTAAGTATATCATAAATAGCTATATTCAGTACTAATCGAAAAACATTTCGGTGTATGCATATGCGCCAATCATCACAAAAGTGGAATTTGAAAAAAATAGTGGTGGTGTGTCTGTCGAATACAATTTTATAGCTGAGTGACAGTGTTTTACCACTATTCTGCGGTTGAAGTGCTGCACCGCGTTTAAAAGCTTATTGTCGATCTTTGGTTTCAGAGAGACCGCATCGTCGTATTCTCCATTACCTTTCATTCTTTTCAATGGACTTTTCGATTCGTTCATTATCTACAGTTGGTTGTTTGGTGGCAATAAATGTACATTGTTGAGTTAGTGTTTCAGAGTTCAAAAGGCCACACTGCTGTAATATTAGGTCACGACTAAAAGTAGAAAGGAGGCAATTTTTAAAGACGACAGTTTCTTAGCAAATGTTCATTTAGACAATAGCAGGGGAGCGTCATTGAGACATATTGGTTGCAAAGCTTAGATGATAAAAAGAAAAAAATGTTATATAATATATACTTTTTCATCGGTGGGGGAAGCGGCTATAGATTTTTGAATATGTAAAAAAATACTGTTGCATGGACATACTCGAGCGCGTCAGATATTGATAGCATCAATGTCCTACGTATTTTTAATNAAATGGTCTACACAAACTATTCCAGAACGTGCATACCTGGATGGCTACAGCTGTTCTGTGAGGACGGCGTCTCCTGGATGGTGGTAATTGCCATTATGAAAATAACCTGCAGCTATTCACGGCCATTTTCCTGAAATGCATCACAAGAGACCTACCACATGTTTGTTGCTTACTAGATTGAGAAAAATGTGTTATGATCTGTCAACTTCGTGGTGGATTGTTCTTCACAACGAAACTCAGGTTCTGGTAGCGAAGCAAATACTCTACACCTAGTCCATCCCAAACTGATTCAGGTGTTTAGTGTTTGATAGAGTCTCACTCCTACCTGCTGACCAAAAAGATTACTTACCAAATGAAG